ACACACACACACACTCAAACACACACACACACATGCAAACATACACAGACGAACACACTAGTTTGACTATATTACTGAGAACTCACTGTTTCCATATTATGATATATGATATGACCGAAACATACCTGTGACACAAACCCTCGTCCAAACCCATCGACATTATTAGATTTTAATCAAAATATGATTTGCCTTTCAAACAGAGACTGAAATAGTGAAGCTGTTCAACAGGTCTCACTTCATCAGAAACCAAATCTGACTTTCTAATGCCTTTCAGAGCGACTGCGAGGAAAACGGCAGTGAAGAGAAGAAAGCAGAGGAGGAAGAGGAAGAGGAAGGAGGAGATGGAGACGAGGAAGATGAAGAGGACGAGGAAGGAGGAGATGGAGACGAGGGAGATGAAGAGGACGAGGAAGGAGGGGAAGAGAAAGGAGGAGATGGAGAGGGAGAAGAGGAAGGAGGCAAAGAAAATGAGGAGGAAGATGATGGCAGTGAGGAAGGAGAAAGTAATGAAAGTGCCGCCGGTGATGAAGACAGTGAAGACGAGCAGAACAATGAGGAGAACAACGGAGAGGAAGAACAACCGTCTGGGAAGATTTCCTCAGATCTGACAGACGTCAGTCGATCACGTGGAATATTCTGGAGTATTTTCATCTGAACGTCTGTGATGTGTTTATCTGCGCAGACAGTCAGACGAAAATAACTTAAATATTAATGCTACAATAGCATAATAATACCTCGGAGTTTAAAAACTAACGCCTCTCTCCCACAGGATGTGACATCATGATGGGCGGAGCTCTCGCCGGAGGACATCCGTGACGATGATCACGATCGCTGATCCTGGAGTCAAAGAAGAAGATTAAAGCAAATTCATATCTAACTTACATGCAAATTAAGATTTAAGAAATAACTCGTACTCACGTCATGAATCTGAAGGCACCTAACGAACCAGATCAGGACACAAAACCACATTAACGTGGAAATAAGCAAACTATCAAGTGTAAATAAACTATTTCAAATGTTATTATAGTTTATTATTGTTTTGTTTTAATTTTATTTACCATAGCTTGGTTATATTCCGTTTAAAGTTTGTAATTTTAACATTTTAAGGGCTGCTAAATATAACAGATGTTGTTTTTTAAATATATAAAACACATTTTCCTAATTCATTGATCTGAATTCAATATATATCAATGATATCAATAATATGTACATTCATGCAAATCCGAGGAAAGGCTTTACCAGAGCTGGATTCTGTTTTTAATGTTACACAAGTGTATATAATCCTCCATTCCTATGTTATCATTCTGAAAAACGTCATTAATAAAGATAAACCGTCGTGAAGTAAACGTCTCGCCTCAGTTATAAACATGGCGGATAGATTTACCTTTCAGAAGGTTTTAAAAGCGTTTGAAAACTTAAAATAAAACTGAAATTGACACAAAAGAAACATTTTTATTGACGTGCACCATACAGCATGTGCCTACATTCATCAGAACCTAATCAATATCTGATCGATACAGATGATAGTTACTCATCAGACAGGTAAAACAGCTCTAGGAGGTCATGTGACGCCACAGAGTCGATCGATAGCAGATGCTGCTTCTTGATTGGACGACAGTACGACTGTCATAATTATCAGAGACACTGCTCTCGATAATTACGGCTCACATTCGTAAGAGTCTCATTATCACTTGGTAATAAAACAAGAATCTCTTCTCAATCGTAACTGTTAATTAACAATTAATTTACGAGGAGATAGTATTCAACAGAAAAGATGAAAGAGAAGTGTTGAGGAGATAAAGTCAAACCAAAAATTTTTATATTTTTTTAATAGTGGGTGCAGGACGCTATAGTTCACTTATTATACAAGCGAGGATAGCAAAATAAAGTAAACTGTGATATATTATACCCAAAAAATTCTTCATATAGTGGACTAGGGGTGTGCGATATTGACAAAACATAATACTTAGCCTCAGAGCTTACCTGCAGATCAGTCTTGAAAGGTTTATACATTAACGGAAAAAATCAATGTCTGTATGACGTGCATGAATGTGATTTTTACTGTTCAATATAAGAGAGTAGGGATGTAACGATTCTCTCAACTCACGATTCGATTTGATTCACGATTTTGATTTCATGATTTAAAATTCGATTCATGATTTTTTTTTTAACAAAATGAGATTTAAGACAAATAAATTATATGTGTCCTTTCATTATTGCTTGGACAAAATGCTGCATGTTTCTTTGTGAAATTGAAATAACACTATAATAATATACTAATATAGCACTTCCATATTATTGCTCTTTCGTTGGTTTTGATTGCTTCTATTGTCCTCATTTGTAAGTCGCTTTGGATAAATGTGTCTGCTAAATGACAAAATTTAAATACCGTATTGGCCCGAATATAAGACGACCCTGATTATAAGACAGATGTACCTTTTGAAAAAAAAGGCTTTTTAAAAACCAATTCTTGTTTTTTCTCAGTAAAACACATTTTGTCTTCAATTATTTTCATATTGCATATTTTTCCGATTTTAATTTTTGTTTTGAAAGTATAGTAAAAACTGGTCAACTGTACCAACAATCATATTTAAAAAATATACACTTTTTGATATACCATAAAAAACTAAAAAACAGGTAGCCCGTCTGAATTAGGACATTTAGGCTATCCGTCTAATAGTAGCCTACCAAAATCTTATTAACAGTAGAAGTTAAATCTTACTGTAGTCTTCAAATCTGGGTACCGTCTTACGTTTTAAAATCACAAAGAGAGTTTGGTGCCATCAGACTAACGTGACCGTCACGACTCATGCATCTGCTTCTTTTGTTTTCACTCGCGATCTTTACAACACGCACTACATTACGTATTTCACGACACACTCGTTTTATGCGTATGTGGCGCCACCTATTGTTGTGTGTGTATTATTGACATGTCAAAGTCTAGACCCTGAATATAAGACCACCGCGGTTTTTCAGATGTATTTCCAAGAAAAAAACATTGTCTTATATTCGGGTCAATACGGTAATATTTATATTAAAACCGCCAGCAGGTGGCAGCAAGTCACTGTTAATAAGCGAGTCACTGCGATTGAAGCGAATCATTTAAACGAGTGATTCATTCAGGAGCGAAACACCGTCATGTTGCTCAGAGACGCAGAACAGCGCTGTGGCTGTGTTTGGAGTTATTTTTGTTGTCGAAATAGCGCAAAAACAGGCAATACGGTGTCTAAAACGTAAGTCTCTTAATTAACTTCTTGTTTATTGAACTGTTGTAAAAAATTACATTTGTAATCACGGTAACTTATGGAGAAAAAATGGTACTCTTCGTGTGATATTGATTAACTATATGAAATGATATAAATATATACATTTTCTGTCCCCATATTTAGAATTTTGCGATCATTCTAAATGTATTTTAATAGATTGAATAACGCAGTGAAAGAACGCACTCTAAATGTAATTGCACGTTTATATTTTCAATTCAGATTTTTCTCCTCTCACACTTCTGCGGGAAAAAAAGTCAAAATTATGAGATATTGTGCAATTGCAAGACATAAACTCGCAATTCTGAGAAAAAAAGTGTTATTGCTAGTTTATAACTCAATTCCAATTCTGCGAAGGTACAGAAATAAAAACATTAACTTAATTGTAACAAGTCTAAATTTTGAGATAAAACCTCAAATCTGTGATTACAATAGTCAGCAATGAGATAAAAATTTGCAATTATTAACTTTTATATTTTGTGGTGGAAATAAGCGTCCATAATATAGTGATGCACTGCAATTTCGGCAACTGAAAATATTCAGCCAAAACAGAAATTTTGTGTGTGTGTGTGTGTGTGAGTGAGTGAGTCTCTGTGTGTGCGTGTGTGTGTGTGAGAGTGTGTCTCTCTGTGTGCGTGTGTGTGAGAGTGAGTGAGTGTGTCTGTGAGTGAGTGTTGAGTGTGTGTGTGTGAGAGTGAATGAGTCTCTGTGTGTGCGTGTGTGTGTGTTGAGTGTGTGTGCGTGTGTGTGTTGAGTGTGTGTGTGTGTGTGTGTGTGCGTGTGTGTGAGAGTGAGTCTCTGTGTGTGCGTTGAGTGTGTGTGTGTGCGCGTGTGAGTGTTGAGTGTGTGTGTGAGAGTGAGTGAGTCTCTGTGTGTGCGTGTGTGTGAGAGTGAGTCTCTGTGTGTGCGTGTGTCTGTGTGTGTGTGTGAGAGAGTGTGTGAGTGTTGAGTGTGTGTGTGAGAGTGAATGAGTCTCTGTGTGTGCGTGTGTGTGTTGAGTGTGAGTGAGTGTGTCTCTGTGTGTGCGTTGAGTGTGTGTGTGTGAGTGAGTGAGTCTCTGTGTGCGTGTGTGTGTTGAGTGTGCGTGTGAGTGAGTGTGTGTGTGTGAGTGAGTCTCTGTGTGTGCGCGTGTGTGTGTGAGTGAGTGTGTCTCTGTGCGTGAGTGTGTGTTTTGAGTGTGTGTGTGTGTGTGTGAGAGTGAGTCTCTGTGTGTGTGTTGAGTGTGTGTGTGTGCGTGAGTGTTGAGTGTGTGTGTTGAGTGTGTGTGAGTGAGTCTCTGTGCGTGCGTGTGTGTGTTGAGTGTGTGTGCATGTGAGTGTGTGTGAGAGTGAGTGAGTCTCTGTGTGTGCGTGTGTGTTGAGTGTGTGTGTGAGAGTGAGTGAGTCTCTGTGTGTGCGTGCGTGTGAGTGAGTGTGTTGAGTGTGTGTGTACCTGTAGCTGAGCGGTGTGCTGGTTGAGTGTGGCGCTGAGCTGCTGTGCTGTGTTGCTGTAGCAGGTAACGTCCAGTGGTAGGATTTGATCATGGGACAGTTTGAGGACCATCAGACCCACCAGCTCAGCTACGGCTCGACCCACTGACCCCAGACGACCCTGAAGAAGCTCCTGCAGACGCCCCACACTGTCCAGCTGAGTGTTGACGAACGGGTACGAACGCGCGTCCTGAACACACCGAGACGGTAACATTTCTCACATACACGACTGATTCTGTAAGTCTCTTCTGCTCAGCAAGGCTGCATTTATTTGATCAAAAATACAGTAAAATTATGAAATATTATTAGAATGTAAAACAGCTGTTTTCTGTGTGAATCTCTGTTAAACTGTAATGTATTTCTGTGATGCGCAGCTGTATTTTCAGCATCATTCCTCCAGTCTTCAGTGTCACATGATCTTCAGAAATCAGTATAATATGCTGATCTGCTGCTCGAGAAACATTTCTGATTATTATCAGTGTTGAACACAGTTGTGCTGCACGATATTTTTGTGGAAACCGTGATGCATTTGAATCATGATGCAGACTTTCATGATTCACAGATGAACAAAAAGCTCAAAAGAGCAGCATTTATTTGAAATAGAAATCTTTAGTAAATTCATAAATGCCGTTACTGTCACTTTTGATCAATTTAATGCAGCCTTGATGAATAAAATTATTAATTCTTCCAAAAAAAAAAAAAGACTGACCCCAAACTTAAAATACCAACCCAATGTTTATTTTTGTGTTTAAGTCAGGTATGTTTTCTATAAGACATAATCAGGCTAATTTAAAATGTCATGTTTAATTAAATGTATTACTTATCGTTTCTTCGTAATTATTAGTGAAATTCACAAGCAATTTCTGATCATAATCAGTGCATTAATTCCAGAGAAATTCATCTCAGGAATGTCACTTATTTACATTTGGGGTCAAAGATTAAGGTTTATGCATAAAAACAATAAGTGTAACACTGCTTTAAAAATGGTTGTTTTTCCCCAAAAAAATTAAAAAAGTTTTCCGTTTAATGTAATTTCAATTTTGTTTCTGTTTTTCCGAGCAAAAAATAAATATCATAAATTTTTCCCTGATTTACAAGAAGAGACTTATTGGAAACCTTAAAAGTAGACACTTTACTTACATTGAATGTGCTTTCTATGGACATATAATCACTTTTGTAAATTTCTTTGACCCATTTACATTTGTTAACTCAGCATACGCTTTTATCCAAAGTGATTCACAAACAAGAAACATAAGAAATTTGTCATAAATTTGTAAGATAGTTGTTAAAAATCCTTATACAGTGACTGGTCAGTTATGAAAACTAACTTTAGTCAGTGACTCTGAATTTAAACCTGAATACTGCTTCTGACCACCTTAGACCCCGAACTGAAAACAGACAAGAGTTCTTGTTACTTCAGTGAAATGCAGCTGCATGGCAGGAACTCCTCCGAAGGCGGTGAAGCTGTAAGCGCCGCTGTTCAGATACAACGGCTTCACTCTGCAGACAAACACACACGACAGATGAACGGGAATCAGAGCGAACATCCGGAGAGCAGACTCCTCCGAACGCAGCAAACTCACATGTTCCTCCAGCCGCCCTGCCGCCGCACCAGAGACAGAATCGACTGACCCGTGTGTTTGGGATGCTCCACCTGAGACACATCAGAGAACATTCACTGACCAAACCACAGACCCACACACGTCTAATCTCAAACACCGCCTGCTGCTTTAAGACGCATTTCTGGTTTGTATCATTTCAGAAAGCATCAGAATCGAGAATTTGAGAGGAGCCACAGAACTCTGAGAAGAAGAAGCTGTAAAGGCCCGTTCAAGATATCGTTTCTCTGTGCCTTTATCGTTATAGTTTTGGTGTGGACTCTGCTATTCATTAATACCGAGAACGATTTTTAGAACTATATCTTTATCGTTATCTTTATAGTTATCGTCATTGGTATAAACAGGGCTTAAGACACACAAACTTGTTTGAGGGCTCCTTCGATGAGATCGGCGAGCAGAGGACTGGTGTAGACCGAGAGTATATCATCACCTGCACACACACACACACACACATGCGCACGCACACACGCACACACACATACATAACAATATCATTAACCTGATAGAAAATCAGTGGAAGTCTATGCAATGTCCTCACTAAGATACCCAAACAAACGTGTGTGTGTTTGTGGGTGTGTGTGTGTGTTTGTGTGTGTGTGTGTGTGTGTGTGTTACCCAGGATGGCCTGATCCAGACTGAAATAAGCCACTGCTTTCAGGTGCAACATGGTCAGATAACCCTGAAAACACAGAGTCACTGATTTCACAAACATACATTATCTGTATTACATCTCTCTCTCTCTCTCTCTCTCTCTCTCAATTCAATTCATATTGCTTTATTGGCATGACATACTTAGGTACATATTGCCAAAGCATTGTACATATAATATACATCCATAGACAAACAAAACAAAAATACATGTAAAATACATCCATATATATATTTATATAAACATTGATGGTACTACTAATGCAGATGTGTTCACTCTTTAACTCTTAGTTTGTGGCATTTATAAATATAATGTGCTACCAAAGAGGAAGTAGGTCCTTCACCAAGTAATACTCTTAATTTGTGGTTTTCATGGAGCGACTGGAAGTCAGGAATGCTCTGCTGTATTTGACTGTACAGTGAGGCTCTTAAGGACGTGTATTTGTCACCGTCTCTACTGATCCTGATCTACATTCAGTACAGATACGCTCTTCTTTAGGT